GATGCTGAGAGTGACCGCAGGGTGATGGAGTCAGGAAACGGGGTCACCAGCTGTAATGATATCTGACGCAGGGCTCACACTGCCTGTGCATGGGCTCTGTGTAATGCAATACTGCGGGAGACCGAAATAATGGAATTCTCCAGAAACAACAAAAGGGGAATAATCGGCCTTTACTTCCATCCGTATTCCTGAGTCCAAAATACAGACAGACAAGACAAGGCTACGGATCTTTATTCTAGTCATGTGACTGTCATTCTTCAATCTCATTGGACTGAATGGGAAAATAACTGTCACCTTTTGTTAAAAATAACCGTCCGTATTCTCTCATGGCCGTGCAGGTCTGATGCAGAAGGTACCCCCGCCTCCCATGATACCTCAACCAACCTCGGTGACAATCAAGGGCACTCTTCTATGACCAGGGGTGTTAGCAGGTGGGTGGGGCTTAGACCCAGAGGTGGTTCGGTTGAGCCAAAGTGGAAATTGGGGTCAGAGGAGTGCGTGGCAGCTATCGGATGTAATAGCCGGAATCTTCCAGGTATAAAATATCCGATGGGTTCGCTTTAAACTAATTTGTTTACATTTTCTCAATATGGGTCCCCTCTGTTTAGTCGGGTTTAAAGGGGACTTACACTCTAAGTATTTGTTGATGGGTGTTCTTGTCAATCTTTGCATAACTCCTCCCATGAGCCGGCCCACTGCTTGTATCAGGACTGAGGGCTCTTGAGAGGAGTACTCTCCCATGCAATGCAGGCATAATCATGGCTGTACTTCCTGAACACATCACAGAACTCTGCCGGCCCCTCCCACCAGCCATGTTCTGCCTGCATTGTATAGGGAAGCACAGAGACCCTATGATGGCATCACGCCTCTTCCTCTGGGAGCCATGCCTGTTGTTTTCAGAGTCTTGCAATGCCTCATGGGACTTGTAGTTCCACAACGACTGGAGTGCCGAGGTTGCCTACTCCTTGTATAGAGGAACAGCTTTGTTACCCTAGTACAGGACTACAGAACCCCCCTTCTCCATAACATAGGGGTTGGAAGATACAGTATTATAGGGGGGAGGTGTTATGTGTTCTTTGCAAACGGCTGGGAACAATGTAACGGATAAGAGTGCAGAAAAGAACAGGAAGTTATCAAGATTTCTGGCAGGATCAACGTGTATTTTTTTGGACTTCCGTATAAAACACTTTTATTTGTGTATTTAACAGACCAAAATGGCCCCCGTAGGAGAAGTTCATTGTCGGGGGATCACATCCAAGGTTTACTGTTGCCTCCGTTCCTCCTCCCGGCCCCCTCCAGACGCGGCACTTTGTTCAGACGGCTGCAGACTTCTAATTGCCGTTCTTCCCCTCTAAATATAACTTTCCCTTCACAAGGAAGTTCCAAATCGCGCTTTCCAGCGGTGTCTCCGCTCCGGCAGTCCTGGGCCCGCGCCATGACGAGCCCCGGAAGCGTAACATCATGAATGGCGGCGCACTTTGGGTGCCAGGAGGTGTCTGAACGGCAGTGAGACGGCTTTATTGTTACCGTGAAATTTGGGGGGGGGGGAGGGTGGAGCTGGATCCGTATGAAAGGCCTTTTCCTTCACTGATTGGTCTCCGCGCTCCCCCACTATTCACCGCAGACCTGAGATGTTAATGGACCTCGCTGGTGTAATACAGACCTACGGGGGGTGCCGGCCTGACCATTCCATGGCGGTTAACCTGCGCAGGGTCGGCGCGGTTTACACCATCAGATTGCGAGCCTTGTTTAACGTAGTCAGGCGGTGCGAGGGTTAATTGTTCATTACAAAGGTAAAGACTAATAAAGTTGTTTGGGGTTTGTATTGATTCCTCAATCGTGGAGGCTCAGGATCACATGTGGGCGTTAGGAACGCCCACTCCTCCAGACTGACACCCACCCATCAATTTTGATATTTGCATAGCTCCTCCCAAGAGCCGACCCACTGCTTCTATCAGGGCTTCAGAGAGGAGTACTGAGGCAGGGTGCTGTGATGTGTTCAGGAAGCGCTGTACAGCAAGGGGGCGGGGTCAGGGACTGTTAAAGGAGAACTATGGGGTCAGTGTTTTTCCCCATAGTTCTCCTTAGGGTAACGGGAGGACACAAACTAGCGTCCTCCTGTCACCCTAAGCTCAGTATACCGCGAGCTGTAGCTCCCTATATACTGAGACGCCGCAGCCGGGGGCGGATCACGACGTAGATGACGGGATCCGCCCAGCTGCGTGAGTGACAGCTGCCTCTGCCTATCTAGAGGCAGAGCCAGCTGTACCCGCCCCCTCCCCCGTCCGTTCCGCCAGTCATCGCTGGCAGATCGGAGCGGGGAGGGGGGAATCCAGCCCCTCCCCCTGTCACAGCAGAGAGCCGTGACAGGATCGAGAGGTGAGCGAGCGACGGTATGTGTTCGCTCACCTCCCGATCTACTGAGCCGACCTGTGACAGTCTCATTGTCACAGGTCGGCTAGAACTATGAGGGGAGTGAAAAGCCCCTCCCCCTCATAGTTCTCCTTTAAGCTGGGGAGGAAAGCGCTAGATGATACCGGATGTCTGCCAGCCAGAAAACAGGACGGGCTCTATGTGACTCTCTGCAGCTTCTAATGCACATGGTGAGAAGCTCAAATCAGAGGAAGCCATTGAAGTCCAGCAGAGGAGGAGGCTGCAGCATCGGTACAATGCACAGTACTAATCGCAGATCTTCCCGTTTATTGCGACGTTTCTGGGACTCTCCCGGCTCTGCTCCTGTCGCGGATCAGAAACGGGAAATCTGGCGCTTCATTTTGTTCTCGGAAAACGTTCCTCCGAACGCTCAGAAGCGTGGGAACCCGAGGAGCCCGAGAAACTGTTACTTTTGGACATGTCCGGGAAGAGCAATAAAGCTGTGCCATTGTTTCCGTCATCGCCCATTGCGGGTTCTCTGACCCTCCTGCCGACAAGGACGTTCAACTGTGTGAGGGGCGTCAGGCTCAGCTAGATCCCATTCCATTGCACAGTACCACTTCCCCTGTCCTGTATGTCGGGTGTCATTCTCAGTATCTGTTCTTATGCTGTATGTATGGACTCTAAACAGTACCACTTTCCTTGTCCTGTATGCCGGGCGTCATTCTCAGTATCTGTTCTCACTCTGAACAGTACCACTTCTCTTGTCCTGTATGCTTGGTGTCATTCTCAGTATCTGTTCTCACTCTGAACAGTACCACTTCTCTTGTCCTGTATGCTTGGTGTCATTCTCAGTATCTGTTCTCACTCTGAACAGTACCACTTCTCTTGTCCTGTATGCTTGGTGTCATTCTCAGTATCTGTTCTCACTCTGAACAGTACCACTTCTCTTGTCCTGTATGCTTGGTGTCATTCTCAGTATCTGTTCTCACTCTGAACAGTACCACTTCTCTTGTCCTGTATGCTTGGTGTCATTCTCAGTATCTGTTCTCACTCTGAACAGTACCACTTCTCTTGTCCTGTATGCTTGGTGTCATTCTCAGTATCTGTTCTCACTCTGAACAGTACCACTTCTCTTGTCCTGTATGCTTGGTGTCATTCTCAGTATCTGTTCTCACTCTGAACAGTACCACTTCTCTTGTCCTGTATGCTTGGTGTCATTCTCAGTATCTGTTCTCACTCTGAACAGTACCACTTCTCTTGTCCTGTATGCTTGGTGTCATTCTCAGTATCTGTTCTCACTCTGAACAGTACCACTTCTCTTGTCCTGTATGCTTGGTGTCATTCTCAGTATCTGTTCTCACTCTGAACAGTACCACTTCTCTTGTCCTGTATGCTTGGTGTCATTCTCAGTATCTGTTCTCACTCTGAACAGTACCACTTCTCTTGTCCTGTATGCTTGGTGTCATTCTCAGTATCTGTTCTCACTCTGAACAGTACCACTTCTCTTGTCCTGTATGCTTGGTGTCATTCTCAGTATCTGTTCTCACTCTGAACAGTACCACTTCTCTTGTCCTGTATGCTTGGTGTCATTCTCAGTATCTGTTCTGTATGTATGGACTCTGCACAGTACCACTTCTCTTGTCCTCTATGCCGGATGTCATTCTCGCTATCAGTTCTTATTCTGTATGTATGGACTCTGCACAGTATCACTTCTCTTGTCCTGTATGCCGGGTGTCATTCTCAGTATCTGTTCTTATTCTGCACAGTACCACTTCTCTTGTCCTGTATGCCGGGTGTCATTCTCAGTATCTGTTCTTATTCTGTATGTATGGACTCTAAACAGTACCACTTTCCTTGTCCTGTATGCCGGGGGCCATTCTCAGTATCTGCTCTCACTCTGCACAGTACCACTTTCCTTGTCCTGTATGCCGGGTGTCATTCTCGGTATCTGTAGAAGGTGTTTTTTAGGACCCACTGACGTGTTCTGGCTCTGTCCTGTCATCCTGAGGTTGCTGGTTGGAGTAGAGTTCGTTGTATCGTCTCCCATGGTTTTGATATTTATGAGGATAACACTTCATTTGTCAGGAGAAACATTGCAGACATTCTGCAGACCTATCAGAGCCTCAGGAAGAGGAATATTCCTGACACAACCTATCAGTGAAATGATAAGTCAAACAATGTCTTTGTATGATGTACTATTACCAGAACCTTTACTGGAGAGGGTTTTTTCGGTATCGAGTACCGATATTTATGATTCGGTACTCACCGATACCGAGTGCAGATACTGGTATTTCCGCTAGCATTAAGCCGTATTCCTGGGCAATCAGGGAGTCGGGCGGTGTGTCATTACCCGCCGACCGGCTTCTTGATTGCCCGCGAAGCCAGCTCCATGCTGTTTGGCCGGCCCGATGTTGATTGGCCGGGAAGCCTGCTTCCCAGCCAATCAGCATTGAGCCAGCTTCCTGACCAATCGGCATGAAGACGGCTTCCCGGTAAGCCGGGTACTGACCCCTTGATTCAGGATGCCGGCCAGCGAGTCGTTACCTGCCGCCCAGCTTCCTGATCGGCCAGGAAGCCAGCTCCATGTTCCCTCGCAGCACTGCCGGTCAGAGGAAATCTCCATCTGACCGGAAGTTCCACTATCTATTTGTACTCACCCAAATACTCGGTATCGGCACCGATACCAATACTAGTATTGGTGCATCCCGACTGGAGACACTGGGACTCAGTGATTTGGAGGGGGATAGGGGGGTCCACATACTTTTGGCCATATAGTATAGCTCAGTGCCAGTCAACATTCTTGAAATAGGGGGCCTCAACCGCAGCCCCAGAGGGGTTAAAGGTTGGGAGAGAACAGTTGACTACAATGTCTTTGTATTCTGTCGTATTAACAGGATCCTTCACCGGAGACACCTGAACTCAGTGATTTGGAAGCGGGTGGGTGGTCTGCTCATTTTTGGCTATATAATATTGCTCAATGGTGGTCAACGTTCTTGACATAGGGGGCCTCAACTTCAGCCCCTGGGGGCTTGAAAGTTGGAAGAGCACTGTTGTCTACAATGTGCTTGTATGCTGCAGTGTTATCAGTGATTTGGAGGAGGGTAGGGGAGTCCACATACTTTTGGCCATATAGTATAGCTCAGTGGTGGTCAACCTTCTTGACATAGGGGGCCTCAAGTGAAGTGAAGGTTGGAAGAACATCATTGTCCACAATGTGTTTGTATTCTGTAGTATTAATAGGACTTACTGGAGACACCTGAACCCCATCATTAATGAGGGGGGGGGGGGATCCTAATACTTTTGGTATTCATAC